GCTGTGGCCATAATATCCGATAGGTTATTTGTTTAACGTGTCTTTAACTTTGGGCAAGAAGTGTACTTGATTTAGACAATGTACAGTACTGTACTTGCACTAAAAAAATTTAACTCATATCGTAACTTATATCAAGGATGATTTTAATACAATTATTGCAAGTGATGTGTTAATTTATCCTTTTAAATTTAATAAAAACTTTGTTCGTAGAATGTTTCAGGAAGAGAGTTTTTCTCATAATTATCAAGGAAGTTTTAATTATTTGGAAGTACAGTTTTGAAGTAAATCTGCCTTATAAATACTTTTTAAATCAGATTATTAATTCTGATATTATATATTTTAAATACAGGTTGTCCCAAAAAAAAATGTGTAAATGCTTTGATTATTAATAAACTTTATTTCTTTAATTTTATGTTATTATATTTTCTATAATTTTCTAATTTATGGTAATCACTTCTAGCCTTATTCTCTTATAATTTTAATAAAAATTAATGTGGTGTACGTTTGTTTTTGATTAAGTGTCCATTGAGCGACACTTTGTGTTAAACTTATCGGTACACGCAGTTATATACTGTTGTTAGACTATTTAAAACATTATGAAAATCAGTTTTATAAACAAAATTCTGTAATAAGCCATAAACAATCTGTTTGAATATGCTATTTTATAAAATAATTTCAAGTAATGTGAAAACAATTGCAAGTTATTTCAGATATATGACAAACTTCTTTACTGTAGAGTTAAAACTTTCCAGTTTTGTTTTATTATAAAATAATTTTAAATTTATTTTCTAGAATATTTGAAAAATTGAATGGAAACTTACAATAAATCAGATTTTCAATTGATTTAAGAACAGGTTGCATACAAAATAATAATGATATTAGTGAATGTGTGTATAAAGGTTAGTGAGGGACTAAATAATAATCTTTACAAACCAAAATTTTAATATTTAAAATGAAAGTTTTAAACCAAAAGTTCTTTCAAACTGTTTTTAACAAGAAAAGTCCATAATAAAACTATAATGTGATGAATAATTTCCAAAATATATATAAAATACAGGGATCAGCAGATTAGTAGTTTGATGAAAGTTTCATTAGAAAAAGAACTGAATATTACTGTTAGAGCAGACAATTTAAGTGTTGTTGTGAATTGAATGGCATGTGTGGAGAAAGGAAAAATTGAAGAATTTCATACCATTTAGCTCTAAAATAATAATCAATATATTTAACAGAGATTAATGTCAGCTAATATCGATTTTTAATCGTGAATAATATATGTATTGGCAACACAAAATGTCGCAGCTTACTTATATATAGATTGTATGAAACAAATTTCATATATCCATAAATTTATTTATTTTTAAAGTAAAATCAAATGTAAATAATAGCTAATAAGAAAACTATCCATAAATTCAAAATTATGCACGTCCTCCCAACACTATATATTTTAAAAATAATTTTACATAGAAACAATTCATAAAGAAATTAGCAAATTGAAAGCTTAAGTAGAGAGAAAATAAGACACATCAATTGATTGTTGTTATTAATATATGAATAACATTTTGTATGATATTCATATATTCAAAGTGCCCTTTACCCTTCTGATTTATTGATGGTTTTGGTATTCTTGCTTTATACCCTATTGTCTACAATACTCTACGTATTGTTTGTGGACTAATTTTTCTTCTCGAAACGGTCTTTGCTAAACCTAAAATCTCTATGAGTGCACCACTCAGAGATTTTTATTTAGTTCTTAGTGTCCACTACTCATTGGTTTCACTTCAAGATTTGTCACAACTTCTTTCTTTATTTATGTAGCACTAGAATATGTTGGACAGTAGAAGCACTCCTGTTTACAATACAATTATTTTTATTTCTCTGTTTTACATAAAATTACTTATAAAATGAAAATGTTCCTGTAAGCTCTGATTTAAGGATTATTTCAATGTTAATTGCTTGAAATTATATCGCATTTTTATTGTATAATGCTTAATGAAAATTGATGTATTTCGCGTTTCCTCTTTTGCTATCACTCGTAAGGTTTCTCATAGATATGGAAGACGATAGGATTTTAATTTAATTATAATAAAATAATCTTTATTATTAATGTTCCTATGTTCTTTTTGGCTCCTCGATCAGTTTTCAACATAAAAGTTCCAATATTATTTTAAAAAGAAATCATTGAACACTAGTAATTGGTCGTGGGTTTGCGCCTAATCAACGTACTGACCACGGGAAATTTTTTGTTTTCTACACGTATTTAACACCTAAATAGGCCCATTTTTTCCATTGAAAGTCCTCCTGGGAAGCACTCTCCCTTGGCGTATCGCTCATATGCTGCGTTACGTTATCCCATTCGCGGAGGATGCTCCAAAGCTTAAAGTGTTTTGGGCATCCGTGTTCAGGAACGGGTCATAATCTCGGAAATTTCCATGGTAGTTCCGCACGGATATATCTGGCATCGCACCGTGGACTTGATCGAATCCACGATGCTCATGAAAAAAGCCATCTTAATTAACGTGAAAAGGATTTTTTAAAAAAGCAACTAATTCAATTACTAGGCTGCTATTTGTTTGATAATATTTATTAGAATACTCAAACTCTTTGAAACCCGCTCACCAGTGGCAGAGTGGATAAAACCACTGAACGTCGTGGGTTCGGGGTTCGAGCCTCTCCAATGGGCAGCCACGTGGAGTTTTCCGGGTTTTCTTCGCGTTAGTAACACTTAAATAGGGACAGGTTCTCATAAAACACCTCCCGGGAGGCATTCCCCCTTGGAAGATCGTCCGTGTGTCACTTTGCCGTATACGAATAAACCAGACCAATCCTTCGAATTTTTATTATTCCAACATGCATAATAGATAACATATACATAGCTCAATGACCTAAAGTAACCCCAAGTAAACATTTAATCAAAATTAGATTCAATAGAGCTCAGTTGTATGTGCTTCAAGGACGGAGGATTTGATGCGCCTTTCTAACAATATAATATTTATCCGAATATAGATTTTTTAAAACTCTTTCCACCCAGTGGGCACTAAAAATTTAAATTAAAAGACAAAGTAATTAAATTAGAATTTAACTAATAAGCATTTTCCTTCTCCTCCTCACTCCTCTTCTTTCTAGACCGTTCAAATGGAAGTTTCGCAATAGAATGCAATTCAAGCGCTGCCATGATCAGCGGTTCTAATGGGCTGAGAAACTGACCGGCATCTCGAGAGGACCTGGTACCGTGGTACCTGGCCACTACCGTAAAGTTTGACCCCTAAGTATGCGAAATCGTGTCTGGTATTGGAAGGTCCTCCGGAGATGCCGGCAGTTTCTGGACGTGGCCACGAGGAGACTCCTGCTGAGATCATCTGGGCGACCTTTCCGAAACATTGCGATTCCCGGTATGGAAAAGGAGACAACCAAGTCTCTTGAATGAAAATTATGTTTACAGGTGCGAAACACTGCCACAGGAATAAATTGTTTGGTGCACACTCCCTGGTGTTCTGAGGGATTGTGTGGAGAGGGAGCCTATGGTGGCTGGTCATACATTTATATGTTTTGTTACAGAGACCTATCGATAGATCTTGATTGGGAAAAAGAAGGGTCGGGAGGCTGGGAATAGGTTTTACTGTTATTATTGGACTCCAATTTTCAAAACCTTGCAGATATCGGCGTCCATCCGTCCGTCCCTCCTTAATCTCGAGAACGAAGTTAGATAGATAAAAGTCGAAATCAGATATGGAAAGCTTGGGGGAATGAGATCTCGATTAACTATATAAGAATATCCGGTTTAGACCGGAAGTTCCTATATAACGTAACTTCCGGTCTAAACCGGAATTATTATTGTAATTCAAAATTTTCTCCCGAATGGAGTTAGATAGATGACCGGCGTATCCCTGTTGTTAACAGGAAAGTATGATGCACAGGGACAAAACACTACTAAAATTGAGAGCATTGTGACGAAAACTACAGCCCCCCATTGTGATTACGTCACAATAAATTACAGCTGGTTTTTGCTCTGCTTTTAAAAATCGATTAAATATTTGTTCGTTAAATTATTTTTAAAATAATAAATAATTTTATTTAATCACATTTAAAAATATATATAATTATAATTTATCAAAGAAAGCAATTATATAATTTATTTTAATGACAAATTGTATATTCCACGAAGTAGCAAATGACTTTTAAAATTAAAAAAAATTAATTTTTTTTTTAATGAAATATTCTAAACAAGATGATAATTTAGTTCGACCTCAATTTATTTTTATATTAATCTTATTTAAGCAGTTTATTACGCAAATAATTAAATGTTTTTAATGTTAATTCTTGACATTTAACGTGGTGCCATCTGTTATCAAAAATAGTTATAAATTTATGTTAAATATTTAAAAATTTACACATTATTTGAAAACATTAAATTTTATTTACATTTTTACACTAATAAAATTAATAATGAATCTATTTTTATCAGTTTTTTTTTAATATTTGGAACTACGATAATGAAATAGTGTATTAATATAATCAAAAGTAGTAGATTTATTGTTATTCAAGATGGCGCCGAAATGAAGGTATAGTCCGACCAACTAGAAAAAAACAATTAAGATCATTTCTTAATTTTTTTTCGACTAAAATTATACATTTTTTAGCTTTGTATTTTAAAAATAAATATAAATTCTTTATAAAGCTATTTAATTGCAATTTTGAAAAAAAAATTAACAATAGGAAGAAATTAATTAAATACGTAAACGGAATTATCTTTCGGTCGCCATCTTAGAACACGGTCATAAATATTAAAAAAAAAAAGTAAACACTCAATTACCACAAAAAAAATAAATAATAATAATAATAATAATAATAGATATAATTCTTAACAAATACAAATAATTTTATTTAATTAATATTAATAAATTTATATATTTAAAAAATAAACGATGTCGTTTAGAATTAAAGTGCGCAATAGAATATACGATAATAAAGTAAAATCGATTTAAATAAATATCGGGAAGAGAGAGAGCGCCATCTAGCGCCCGTTAGGAGACGAGAATCGGTCTTCTGTAGATGGTGGAGCGTGATTAAAGAGGCACACATTCGACCGATATTTTAGAGAGGAAAAGAAAGAAATAATTATTATAATCGAGATGTTAGCTTTAATTAATAGAATATTAGATTGGTTTAAGAGCCTATTTTGGAAAGAAGAAATGGAATTAACTTTAGTTGGTTTACAATATTCCGGCAAAACCACATTTGTAAATGTCATTTCGGTAAGTTATCAATAAACCTTCTTTAATTATTCATTATTCGTTTCGTTTCTGGCTTTTATTATTTATTCATTTACTCCTTGCTTTTCTGGTTTAGTGCGCTTTTACGCTTAAATCTTTTCTCTGATTCTTTTCTTTATTATTTATTTTTTTTTTTGGTCGATACGATTCAATATCCACGCGTTAGTCATCTTCGCTTGAGGTCTGTGCACTTGGAAAACAAAACTAAATTTAGTTCTTCGTAATTATTCGGATTCCTGCCAGTCGTCTTCGTTGTCCATTTAATAAAAGATGTGTATAAATTATGTACTGATTCAAATATATCATTGATACACATGTATAGGTCACATGTATATATCATCATCATCATCATCATTGTTTGACTTTATTTCAGCTTAATTTACTTTTGAGTTAACATTTCTGTCGTGTAGTAGGGTGGAATAAAGGTATTTAAGTCGTCGTCTTCCGTTAAACGTTCAGATACGTGTTCCTTACTTTCTTCGTCGTGATATTTGTGTGTGGCTTAATCGTCGTGGTTATACCTGATTGATTAGTCTGTGGTTAATCGTTTACGTACCCGTTCGGGTATATGTGTTTGTTATCGTCTCCGTTTAATACGCGACTGATTAATATGTGGTATACCCATTCGAATACGGTATATCGTCATTGTTCGCTAAACATTTAAATACGCATATGCGTTTGTTTCCGCTTTCTTCTTTTACTTAATGTCATGATTATATGTGATACACGTAACTGTTCAAAAACTGTATCGTCGTACTTTGCCAAACATTAAAAAAAAACACACACACACACGTGTGTATATATATATATATATATTACTGCTTTCCTCTTCTACGTCGTAACATGTATTGTCAAATTACCATGATTATATGCAATTGATTAATTCATAGTTCAAACAAGTGAAAAATGTGATCTATAGATGGAAGAATATATATATATATATATATTAATTAAATAGTAAGCCGAGTTTTAAAAATTTATTAGACTGTTTTTGTACGTAGTCCGATATGGCTGTATTGAAAAACTGGAACCTGATCTTTTTTTTTCCCCCTCTAGAAAGATGATAACATGTTTCATTAGCAATAAAACATTCTCAGAATCTCCGAAATAAACTGATTTTTATGATTTTGTTTTTTGTTACTTACATGTAATAAAAATTGGATTATTTTAGACTGGGTAACTTATTTTTTCTTCTGTTTTTGAAGAGTACAAATGTATGCTACGCTAATAAAATAAATATTGCCATCGTTAATGTTTGTCTGTCGTGTTGAATAAACCCTTTCTGTTGGAGAAAACTGAAAAAATAGTGAAAAAAATTTTATGAAATTAATTAATAATTGTGTAATGAATAATAACAACATGATTGATTGATTGATTGGCATAAAAGAACCTTGTATAACCTAGAATGACCTGTTAAGTAGGATGATTTAAGATTAAAGAAACAACATTCAAATTCGATTTAGTATGTAAAATATTTGTCGAATGTTCAAGTAAAAATGTTAACTATTTTAAAAATTTAAACCTATTTAACCTTTATTAAAGATTAAGAATAACATACATATCAATGATTAGAATTGGCAAGTTTCGATGTCAAGATTTCAAAACATGCTCTAAATAAAATTTCAAGTTTAAGAATAAGACAAAAAAGAAAAAAATAAACTTGATTAATACATTTTTTGATGACTGCAAACTATTATAATCGAGCAAATAGAGCAAAACTGTATAAGAAAACAAGAATTTAACCTATTAGATTTCATTTTAATTTTTGAAATAAAAATAAATTTGGAATCGACTTCGCTGATGTATAAAATTTAAAGATTCTAAATTAATTTACAGAGGAATTAAAATTAGGAAACTGAAGATAATTTTATATAAACAACAAATTCATTTTAATCTAATCTAAAGACAGATTTAATAATAATAATAGTAATAATAATTGAAACTGAATTGTTTCATATTAAATTTTACAAAAATCTATGTTAATTAATAATTATTATTATTCAAAATATAAGCGACCGTTAAAATTGGATTTTAAGAATGGAAACACTCAATCGAGATGATCATTTTCTTATATCTAAATTTAAATTTTAAGATTTTTATCATTGAATGAGAAGAATATTGCTAAATATTCTTAGTTATAAACCGTTTCCAGTTTATGTAATTGGTTTATTGATAAAAAGTAATTTGTTTTTAGCTCTTTCTTAAAATTAAATTTTGATTTGCAATTAATTAAAAAGCTTAAATACAAGAATAAATTTTAAATAATTTCTTATATAGGCAGCACAGGTAATATTTTAAGTATTTAATATGTTGAAATAGGAAAAATTTTAAGATTTTTAATCTGATACATTGACTTTATCTCATGTACACAGTTAAATGATTGAATTTTATAATTAATTTTGATCTATAAGCATTATGTTATTGTAACAAACAGGCTTAATATAACAAATACTTATTAAAAAATTGTAATTATACTGTGTAATTTTTCTCAAATTTTTGTACGTCTAAGATTCAAGTTTTAAAATTATAAATAAAACATTGTCTATCATTTATGTTGGAATTAGAATAATAAACATTAAGATAATTTTTGCTTTAGATAAGCATAATTATGTAAATTTAACATTTTATCAATTTATATAATAGTTTAGTAATAAATTATATTATAGGATATATGTAAATCTGTTGAAAGGAGAGCCTGTATTCTGAACTCTGGTTATTTACCAATGTTTTTGACTCGGTTAGCGGGTCATATTCGAGCCGGCATTCCACTTTCGATTGTCCATACTTGAAGACGGGCTAAAAATATTAGCATTTTTAATTTTATCCCCACTATTAAAGTTGCATAGATTAACTCAGCTAAAATTTTTATGTTACGTCAAACATAACTCTACTATATTATATGTAAAAGACATTTTAAATCGGGTGGCCAACCTTTTCAGAAGGCGAGCCAAATTTCAGAAATAATATTTCCTGCCGGGCCACACACCTAATTTTTTTTTTTTTAAATTAAAGTAAACAAGCAAGCGTGGTACAGCTTCAACCACATCGTCGTTTCCCAGTAGGTGAGATCGTGGTCAAACACTTGCCTGGTTTAATGTAAAAAAAAACACAAAAAATAGGTATTTATTTTTTGGAGAAAATAAAACATAACCGAGAATCAAATATATTTATTAGACTATTTAAAAGTGAGACATCTGACTTTGTTTTACAGAACTAAGTGCATCAAAATTGATCTCCACTGATGTCGCTACACGCAAACAGTTTTCCAAATGAACATCAGTAATTCGATCTCGCTTGTGATTTGATGTACTTCATGCGACTAAAAAGCTATTCACACGCATAAGTGTTTCCACATAGTAAAACCATTGTCAGAGCATGTTTGTAAAACGCAGGATATTTATCCTTTTCCAAATACGTTTCATAGAACTCTTCCAAACCAACTTGATGAAATTTCTCCAACATTTCCGGGTTTACTTAATTATAGAATTGATATGGTAGACAGGCTACTTGGTTAAAGTAGTTTGAACTGTAATTATAAATATGTTAAATATGTATTTTAATGTCGATTGCAAAATCTCTCCAGATGCATTGGCGATAATAAAATGAAACTACAGAATAACACGGAACTTTGTCAAGCTGGACTGAAAGTAGTTATGAGTATGAGCCCGATAGCATTGTGAGCTTCCCAAAAACGCCAAAGACCACAGAACATATATAGCTTAAGTTGAAGTCTTATATTAAATTTTTTCAACACCTAGCGTCGGACAAAAAAACTAAGTAACCTTGAGTGTCAAATAGCGGGATATTTGAAATAATTAAAAATCTATTAATTTTTTCAAAAATGAGAGATATTTCAAATTTCTCTTAGCTATAATTTAAAAATACATGATACGAATAACTCATGATGTAATGTTCTTTTGCTGATATGTACAATAAAGTTAACATTTACATTCATTTGACCTAGCTCCGCGGGCTGCAACATGACTCCAGGCGGGCCGCATGTGGCCCGTGGGCCTCGTGTTGGCCACCCCTGTTTTAAATGATTTAAATAAAAGTTTATTGTATAGTATTATAAAAATATATGACTTTTATAAGCATAAACATTAACAAAAATTGTTTACTTTTAGTGGAATTATATAAAATTTTATTGAAGATAAAGAATAAATTAATTTTTTTTAATTAAAGGTATAAAATTTGTTGAGGATTTCAGAGTTTTCCTGTTTTTTTTTTTTATATGAATGTGAAAGAAGATTGTATTTGTGGTATTATTTTCCGTTAGCTTCTCTCAAATGATGATAAATTACAGTTGTCAATTTTCATCTGATATAATAGTTCAGAGATACGCCTATGGAGTTTTTTTGGATAAATTGTTAGGAAATTGTGGAAAGTTTATGATAAATAAGAATGTCTTAATTATAATTTTATGGTCAGATTATGAAAAATTTCTGTTTATTTAAAAAATCAAATTTAATGTTTGAGAGAGACTTTGATTAATAATCACTTATTAAAGTATTCTGATAATCATTTTTCCAGTTTTCAGATTAGGTATAAGATGTTATTTTTTTCAGGAAATTTTTCCTTTTGTTGTTTGTTTAGCACAAATATTTCATCATCAACATGTAAAACATCTCACAATTTAGCATATTTTTAAACAGATATTTTTTTGTATCTGAGTCATTTATGTTTTAAAAATTTAGTAACGATAGTCATAGTTATTTTAAGTTATCAACATTGTTTTAATTTTTATTTTCTTTATTTAAAGATCATTAAAAACACTTCTTGTAAAACTATATCAATGGAATTTTAAATGAATGATTTTTAAGTCCAACAAGATACAAAACACAATTACTAATACATTTTAATTAATAAACACATCTTAGTCATTTCATAATTTTACAATAAAATTTTCAATATTTCAAAATAAACTTATGAAAAAAATAATGATATTAGGTTGTATTTTTTGAGAAAAATGTGAAGACAGG